TGACCAAATACTTATTTTCCACCATGATTTGCAAATAAATTCTTTAAAAATCAGACAATGTGATTTTCTGGTTTTTTTTCCTCATTTTGAGGAAATAGTTGAGGTATACCTATGATGAAAAATTACAGGCCTCTCTCATCTTTTTAAGTGGGAGAACTTGCACAATTGGTGGCTGACTAAATACTTTTTTGCCCCACTGTAACTAAAATAAGAAGTGATTAAAAGTATTGTATTTTTCTCAGTGTGGTAAGTAAATTCTATTATGTTCAACAGGATTTATTCTCTGGTAAGTGTATTTAAGTTTGTAGTGTTTTCTGCTGATTAGTATGTCCTGTAACAGTATTTAGTTTTATTTATTGATATCTCAGTTTGGACCTATGGCATTTTCAGTCTTGGAAACAGCTAATCTCCTGTAAAATATTATTAAATCCTATGATGAAAAGGATTTTTAAAACCATTACAATTGTTCTTTATAAAATTCTGTTGATAATGAATCAGTTTGATTTGCAAAGTTTAATGACTGAAATGTAATAAAAAATTAACAATTTCTATTTTGCCTAGACAAGGGATAGAGATTTTAACCAGAGATTTTAACCTCAATTTAAAAAAAAGCTTAAATAGATCTTATATCTTTTTATGCATTTTTATAGAAAAGGCCTGAGTAAATGGTTCAGTTTTGGGAATGCAATTAAATTAATGCTTCATTCAAACATATGTTTTTATAATATCCAACAATTGTTCCACATTTACTCAACTTTGAGACAAGGTTCAGTATTTTCAGAAGTTCATATTCTTTTGAAGTTTATTCTTATTGCATGGAAATCTGGTCAAGGAAAGTGGATTTTCTGTACCCCGCTTATGGCTAAAAGACTTATTGTCCAGCATTTGAAAGATAAACATATGGTCCCAACTATTTAGTGATCTGCAGAATTGATGTTACCAGCAATTTTTAAATCAATAACTTATCAGTATAGAATGGCTATGGATGACTATAATGAATTATGGCTTCCATTCACTGAAATATTTATTGTACAACTTGAATATGATATATGTTCAATTCTGAATTTTTCTGAAAAAAATTCTGAATTTTTTTGTTTTTCTTAGCTTTCTTTTCTTTGTTTTTATATTCAGTTAATAAAAGCAAAATAAATAAGTACATAACATAAACATCCGCAAAGTCTGAAATTTTATTTAGTAAATATTTAATTGCTCTAAAAAGGTTCCAGTAGCACAAACTTAAACTTACACAACCTAGCTGGTAACTTGAAAAAACATGGAATGTATGCTGGAGTATGAATTCAATAATTTTGTGCACGCTTGGGGGAAAAAAACCTGCCTCTGGTATTAATTTGTAAGGTTTTGTAGCCCAGAATCTATGCCTTCCAATGAGACTCTAGACCGAGGTTTTTTCCAAAGAAAATTCAGCTTTTATTTTGGCCAAGAGAAAAGCAGGGTGGACCACTCTCCGTCCGACTGGAAGAGGGAGGACAGAGAACAGCCACACCCTAAAACAGTTTACAACAGCTTTTATACCTTTTTGTCATCAGGAAGCATCTAGGAGGAGGGCCACACACACAAGTCTGCCCGCCTTCTAAGGTTGACATAACAGTTTAAGCAGCATAAACTAATAGTCAAGTCTCTAGTCCTCACTTGTTCCAGGGGTTCCTCATATGCAGAGGATGTGGTGGCATTGTGCGGTTAGAGGCAAGAGCAGGTGCAAAAGTTCATGCATGCTCAGGAAATGTGTCTAGGAGCTGGGAGGAGGAAAGGGGAAAATTGCAGACGTTTCCCCTTTTCAGGACCTCTGATACAAGCAAGCAAGACATTTGGCCTTTAGCTTAACCACATCTTCCCATTTCTTTTTGCAACTCTG